AAAACTAAAAAAAGATCTCACCAAGATAATACCCGAGTGTCAGATCCCAACAGGATAATAAGTTGATATTAATGCTCACAGGAGCCAACCGCCCAAACCAAAACTACATGCCATAAACAATACAATCACAAACGACACTAACCAACGAAAATAGCCACAGAAAACAAAATATACTAAGCAAATTGAAACAAGTCCTTCCTAAGCAGCGAACCACGCAAAGCCAGTGCATACCAAGTCGACCCAGGGTGGGTACCACAACCAAATAGGACCGAACCGAAATTGCCCAACACCAACTCAGTGGCCTAACGAAGTCGAAGTCCAAGCCCCAGGATATCATTCGAAATCAAACTCGAACCACGACCTCAACACCCAAGATGCCTCAGGATCGCCACGTGACTGGCCCACTAACACCACTAGCGAGTCCAACCACACCCGGTGAACCCCTGAACCACGAAGATGCTGAGGCTGCAGTCACGTCCCCGACCACCTGAAGCCACCGCAATCCTCCACCCACCACTGCCTCACCTCTGCCATCACCACTGGCCGGAGGACAGAACAATGGTCGCCAAACGACCGAGGCACCATCCACCCGACTGAAGCCGCCACAATCCTCCACCCTCCACTACCCCACCTCTGCCATCACCACTGGCCGGAGGACAGAACAATGGTCCACCCCAGACCCAACATCGTAGAAAAGGGGAAGAAGGCTGGAAACGCAGTGGAGCTCCGTTCGACCGACACCAACACTGCCGAACACCCACACCATCAACACCACGCCTCAAGAAGCCGATGAGAAGAGCAGCAAGCCGGCAATTGAAAATCGACCCATACTTTAAAGCTTAAAGCTTACCTGAAACGAGCGACGAGAAAGGAGCGTGACAAAAAAACGAGTGGTACCCATTACGTGCCCTTCTTATTTTATGAAGTAACCCTATCCCGGCCTGGTCCGGTATGGAATGAACTTATAATCGTGGAATCGACTCGATCAAACGTCGGAGACCAGACGGCCGGGGGACGACCACCGACTCGAACTAAATGCCGCTGAGGAAAGTCGAGCTACTCTGAATTGGAGGTGAACGAGAGGTTAGGGTTTGGGGGAGGAGGAAAGGGGATCGCTCATGTAATGTCTTTATTATTTATAAAATTTATAGGAGTTGTATGTCTTCTTTTTCATTTTATTTTATGTAATGAATAATATTTAATGCACGTTACTATAACTTTCCCCTGTCGAATTTTTGAATAGGATTTCTATTTATATAATTAATTTAAAATATGTAAATAAATTTAAAATAAAATCGTGTATAAATATTTTACAAAATATACACACGTGTTTTTTTTTTTAAATTAATTTTGTATACTAATTAAACAACTTTGATTTAGCAAATGCAAAAAACTCAATCCCTTCTATAACTAATGTTTCTCTAATTTGCATTGATGAAAATATATATTACATGAATTTCATTATAAAAAGTAAATCAAAATAAAAAAAAAAATTGATAAAAAAAAATAATCATTGTTGCCCCAATAATATACAAGTGAATTCTAAAGAATATTTTATATATTTTAATTTTAATATTTCACCATTAGTAAACTATTTAATGTATCTGGTCATTATCTCTTAAATGGTAAATTATATTTATTTGAAAAATCATTTATTTTTTATATATGACGAACGAAAAAATTATATTGACAAATATTAATTCACCAACTTGGTTTCGTCAGATTAATTAGAAGAAAAAATTCTACCTAACCTATTACGATTTTATATATATATATATTAAGAGAAAAAGTGAATATTTTTTTAAGAAATTATTATTATGGTTAGAACTTCAAATATGTTGTAATATTTATCTTGACCAAAATATTATTAACATAAATTACGAAAAATAAATCTTGTAATTTATTATAATGGATACCAACGAAATTATTGAAGATATTAATAAAATTATTTAAGAAAACAAAATTTTTGATCATATCTAATTTGATCTTATTTGAAAATGTGTATATGGAAGCAATTAATACATATATTTTAAAAAGTTTCTAAAAATATGCATTAGGTTTCCCATAATTTTTTACTATTTTTAGTAAATGATTATTCTTATTATATATATAATATATATTTATATATGTTTTTTATTATTTTATTCAATTATTATTATTATATATTGTTAATCACCAAAAAAAAAAAAATACATCAGCAATTAATTATGTTGAATGTATCAAAAGTTTAAACACAAATTTTAAATTATGATAATAGTTGAAAGTCGTGGTAAAATATAGTATATTAAAAAATTTGGTAGTATGTAACCTTCATTAACTAGATTTTTATTTTTATTTTTTTGGAAACGACAGAAGGAATCTTATAACAATAAACAAATGTCTTACAGTCGAAGGGTAACTAGCCATAATAACAAATTACAGTATATTATGGCCACACCAGAGGTGCCCTAGACCAAAAATAACAAGCCTAACCAACAAACTAACCACACAAATACACTCACTAATTAGAAAAAACCAAACACAACATGAACTAGGAAAAGCACCAAAAGTAGCAAGATAAGGTCAAAACCTTTCACCTGACATGACCAAGACATACTAGCATAAATCTACAAACCAAGCAGAAGAAAGCAGACAAAAGCAACAAGGTGGAATCACCACTGAACCACACAGGACATAGCAAATAACTAGCCTTGAACTTAAGGTCACTATGTTCTCTTTACTAAGCAAACTCCTTCCACTCCTTCAAGGTTTCATTTACCACAACAATCTTAGGTATGTAGGTGTTTTAGAATTTCCACAAATTCCTTGACTTCCACAGCCACCAAAGGATGTAGGTAGTCAATTGTATCTTGTCTTCTAAGATTGGCCTTCTTTCAACTGAGCAAATGTTCCACCACCACAACCTGAAGTTAGTATGTTTATCTGCAAGTCCTTCCAAGCTCAAAGGTGCTAACTTCCAAACATTTTATGCCCTGATACAATGAAAAAAGATATGCTCAGCCGATTTAATATCATCCCTACAGCCCCTACAGACAGGGTCTACATCCATTCCCCTTTTCTTCAGATTCAAGTTGGAAGGCAACAAATTGTTATAGCACTTCCATATGAAGTGCTTGAGCTTACCCTTTGATTAGGAAGTTCCAGCTCATTTTACAGACTTTTTTTCTCTTTCTGTTGTCAAACTTCCTCCAGTAAGGTCAAGTTCCCTAAATTTCTTCCTGATGATACTAGAGTAAATATTGGACACTAAGAAGAGGCCTTTAGGATTAATGTCCAGACTCATCTGTGTTTCAACACTTGGTGAAGGCTTTCAATTATAAGAATGGCCTCCATATCTTCATCTCTGAATAGCTCTCAAAAGGTGGACTGGTTTCATCTCCTGTCTCATTCTTTCAAATAATTGACTTACCCACTGCAGTTGGAAATTGATACTACTTTTTAGCTTAGGACTCCTTTTAGGGTGATTACGTAACCAAGGATCAGCCCAAATGTTTGTTGAGACTCCATCCCTGAGTTGAACAAAAAACTGCATTATATACTTATCCCTCACAGCTAGCCAATTAGTCCAGACCCAAGAACAAGAATATTTAGAGCATGAGGGATGAAGCAGTTACAGAAATACATGCCTTTGAGCACCTTGCTTACCAGCAAGTTTGGTTTTGCAAGAATTCTCCAAATTTCTTGAGAATTAGTGCCTCATTGACCAAGCAAAGATCTTTAAACCCAGACCATCAATCTCTTTAGGCAGGGTAACCGATTTTCTGGTTTTGAATGTGCACCAGAAGCTTGATAATTTCTTTTGTCCACCTAAAATAAGCACTGAATCATATAATGTCCCTGCAAACACCTTTAGGAAGACAGAAGCAAGACATGAAACACATGTGTTGGTGTTATATACTGAAAGTCTGACTTTGGATGATCTTACACTTTATCTTCCGTTGAATGATAATAGGTTTGATTAAATGAGTTCAATGTTCTTTCGCACTTAGATAAGATGGTTCATTATCGGCTGAACAAAAGATCATCTTATCGGTTACTTGTGAAACAAGAATTGTTGGTTCACAACCTAGATGGAAATGAACAAGCCATCAGAACTATTTTAGTGTCAACAGTACAATTGATCTTGAATAATTAGTTGCACTA